GTAAAATGTCTTCTCTCACGTTTTCATCTGCAAAGGTACTATCGGGCATCGAAAGTGTTTAGACGGCTTGCACGGGTTGATGAGTCGTCTGAAACTGCAAATCTTTGATCTCTTAATTGAGACAGTTTTCAGGCATACCGTCTGAGCTGGTTCATGGACTGCTTAAACATTAGTGTTTCTTTCAAAGGAAAGAAAATCTCAAAAGATTTATCATTACAGAAGTTACAATGAATGATGGCTTAGATCCTACCAAAAATTAACTTGGTTAAGTGAAGATGGAAAAATCTAGAAATATCACAACTGTTGTTAACATCACCGTCTGTCCCGTATTCTCGACAAGGTGTCTGATGTTCTCATTAAGATCCTGGTTTTCACCAACCGATTGTAACAGTGTTTTTTCATTACAATTGCGCATTGATTGAACCAGTTACTTAATGAAATAACTTCCGATCTGTTCGCCTAGTAGTTATAGTTAGCGGAACCATTGATACAGGAAGATATTAATTGTATGTGCGCTGCAACGTTAGCCACGCAAGGATAGGTGGCGTAAAATTGTTAGTCAAGATTTTTTGAAGTTTGCAGTTAAAAAATGCACTCTTTTGTGATTACAGAACTAAGTGTTTTGAAAATCAATTGTTTAAAAAAATATGTAGTGAACTGGAAAAGAAATAATAACAGTCTGTTGCATAAGGAGACGACACTACAGTTTACAGCGTAAACACTTATCTTGAGAAAGATACACTCTCTGATGACTTGATGAGAAGAAAAGAATTAAAGAAATTTGTGGGCAACGATATATTAGTCTATATATTTTTATATGATTATGGTTATTTAGGCTGGATTTGCTGAACGCAAAGCCTTGTACTTCACTCTTAATTATCAACTTACTAACCATAAGAAAAATTTGATTGACAGTTTGGACGACAGCATGTCAGTACTTTTTGGCATTAACAAAAAGATTGTTTATGGCAGCCAAAAATCTTGAATATTTTCATTCAAAATGAAGTTCTGTCTACTTTTTTTTTTCTAAACAGAAACTACCAGTTAGAAATTAAAAGTAGAATTTTAAACAACATTCATTTATCAAATAGAAAACTAATAAAAATTTATCTATTATTCTTAATTAATCGTTTTTAAGAAGGATAACACTATTTTGATACCATTTATAATTTGATTTAAAAGTGCTTCTAGATTTTACTGGTGATTATTACTAAAAATTCTAGACAGATTCAGCACAGGATTTTTTTGAAATTGATTTAGAGAAGTTCAAACACTACCCGCAGTTGTTAATTTAAAAACCGACAAGCCATAGAAATTTTCATCTTCACCATTCAGTCCTTATCTTATCCTGCTCAGTTAAACAGATATAGTTTTTTTTGATCAGAAAGTGATACAGTTCGTAATGTAGATATTTCACCTCTATTTTTCAACCAAAAATATTATTTTCTATTTGGTAAATTGTTAACAAGGCTTTTGAGAAAAAATATTTTTTTTATTCACGAGAACTATTCACTGGTATATCCTTGAGATGTAAGCATAGCAGTGTTTTAACAAAGCCACCGAAAAAACGATAAATAATGTTAATAGTTTCTGGACAAAAAGTTTTGCAAAGTGACAGTTCTAGATTATTTGTTCAAATTATCATTTCTTCCTTAAACATTTTGAACCGTTTCTTTCTCATCCTTTACTCAATTCATTAGATGGCTTTTGTAGAGCTGTTCTATTCCCTTATTTTCTGCTTAAATTACTTTGCTGATTTCTCTTTTAGAATTAGATCTGTTTTACTCGGTTTTTTTTATTCATTTCGTTTTTCTTATAGTGAGAACGAGAAAAACGTGATGACCAGGAAATATCGGTTAAAAAGTTCAGCTAAGCTTTCAGCAGGTTGCAAGAAGAAGAAATACAATATTCTCAAATATTCCCATAAGTATATTAATTGCTTTTATATTTTAGTATTTGATCTCTCATCAGTTAACTTACCTGGTACGTGGTTTGTGAGGTTATCTGTATCAACAATTTTTTATCTATCACAGTAGAACTCAAGAAGCGCTGGTCGTTAAATTCGAGACAGATGGATTCGCTGTGGACTTTGAACAACAGTACATTGTAAGGTTTCAGTCAGAAAAAATTAAAAAAGGAGGAAGAGTATGACAGTTGATAATTAACCTTCACTTTCAGTTGTGTGTACTAAAGTTCAAATGATTGACTGTAGAGCAAAAGATTTCTTGTTGATTTCCGATCACAAAAGCCTCAACCTTGAAACTTTAAAGTTAGTTTCATTTTCTAATATGAATATTACAGTTTTATGTTGTACGCTGATAATTTGTTTGCAACAGCTTCAACTCGAAACGTTTCAATTTTTTCCACAATTCGTTACTTTATGCTATATTTTTTTCTTACAGCTATAATAAAAGACGAGAGAAAAACCACCTGTCTACTTCACTTACATTAAAATGCTAAAAAGTGTTCATAAGTTCTCATTTCTCGTTATGTTCAGGTATTCTTTCTGAGGCAAATCTTTCTGCTTTTTTCTTCTTTTATTTAACCAATATTAACACTGTTTGTACTGTTATTTACTGGCTAAATATAATTGGTTATATCGTACTTAAAACACCTAATAAAAGCTTTGATTTTGTGAAGTTTGATAATTGATTCTCTATTATATTCTGCCCAAAAATTCATGTCAATTTGAATCATTCTAATTCTTAAATTTACTGAATCTAAGCCTAAAATTTATTTCTTCTACAATACAGGAAGAAGATGAAAAATGGTCATTATTTTTTATCGCTCAATCAGTTTTAGAGTACACAACCTTAAAATATGCGTTTTGTTTACCAAACATAAATCAGTGATCAAAAATCTAAAACTTAAGAAAAAAAAACAGCCTTAGCTGTTAATAGCTATTTTTAGCGATACATAACTAAAATCCTTTTAGTTGGAAGTTTTATTGTTTCTTCACGTTATTTTTGGAGTTTTACGCTTGTTGACACCGATGTTTACAGATTTCTAGAATGTTTATAACTGTCATTGCCTTGTATTTTAGTAGTGCTAGAACGTCGAAGAGAAGAGGTTCCAGCTGTAAATAAACGTGAGAATTCTTATAATTCAGCACAAGTTATTGGAAGCTTTTGCATTATAGCCGTCACTGGAAAAAAAGTCAATTTGAATACTGCGATAACGCCAAACACATTCCTTTTTCCAATCACTTTGTTTCTTCAACAAAATTGTTTGCAGTCTCATTCAGGATTCTGCATTTGAATATTTCTGAGTACACCCACATGACTGGTCAATGAAATTGCTAGCAGTCGGTTAATACCTTTTGAACTTAGTTATTACTTGGGTAAGTAAGAACAAAATGATTACATGCGATAACGATTAGTGATCGCCAAAATTTGGCACAATTTAGATGGATACAGTGAAATTAACAAAAACAACCAGTCTATTATTTCTGACCAACACCCTGTCCATTTTAAGGTTACTTTACCTTATGCTTGCTTAACTGCGCTTAGCAAACTGCAGAAAATTTTTGAGAAATCGTTGGGTTTTTTAGTCACAGTTTTTTTTGTTTGTATCTGAATTTTTAATGCGCAGGAAAAGTGACAGCTGATCAGTTTGAATAATCGGACATTTCCAGTGAATGAATACTGATGTATTTGCGCGTAGATACGTAGGTATCTCTAAAACAAAATGCTGATAAAGACGAAAAATTTTTATGAAAATTTAGGACCGGAAACTCAGGTTTTTTGTGGTGCCCAACTCAGTTTGCCTTGTTCCATTCTTGTTTTCTCATTTGTTTGGTTTTACCATACCCGTAGTTCTTTGTAAAAACTTTTCTGAAAACTTTTGTAACCTTTCTAAAAAAAGCAATTAGAGAAGAAAAAATAAAGTATAAAGGAAAAAAAAGAAATAAAATGAACCAATTCTGAACATAATATATTTTTATGCTTAGAAGTTTACAAAACAGTTGTATAATTTTTTTTATTCTTTATCTAACTAATTGCGACCAAAATTTTTTTAAAAATTTCAAAACAGTGAGCGTTTAGTTGATTAAAAAAACCTGTAAAAACCCTGTTCAAAAACTTCATGTATTTTTTGTGATTTATATGCGTACCAAAGAAAAACTGAAAAAAATTTGGTCAGTAAACAAAACATGAAATTCCTGTTAAACTGAACGACAGTGTTTGACTGGAAACAAGTATCGTTAATACTTTGGTATCAATAATTGATACCATATTTAGCAGTTTTTTGTTGCAAACAAACACAATTAGTGCATGTAAATGACAATTTTTGCTAAGAAAAAAAAATTAGCTGAGGTCAATAACAAAGAAAATTTGAAAACTACAGAGTGGTCACGAAAATGTTCGAACATTTTTTTTTTTATAATTATTTTTAATAAAGTTACTAATTTTAACTACTGGAAAAGTGACAGACACTGAGTTTAGCAAAAAAGAATTTTTCAAAGAAAAAGGTGACGAAGAAAAAAGGACTGTAAAAAGTTACTTGAGTCAGTTTGTTTGGTATTTCTTGTTTTTGATGATAATCAAAGTGGCACTATGAGAACGTTGGAATTGATGACTTTTGTTTGTTCGCAAAATTTAATTCATTTCATTTTGTTTTTCTTTTGTTATGTAATTTTTTTTGGTTTTCAAACTTTGTTTTTAACGCTTATAAAAAATAAACCTCGGAATTGTTGGCTTATGATGACTTTACTATTCTGTGACTACTTAAGGTCAATCTTACAATGGCTGTACTCAAAGGAAACAGTTGGCAGCTGTAGGCAACAGTGTAAAAATGTTTTGTGTTTTCACCAGTAACTGATAACGGTACGATAAAGTAGCAAGATCTGTTTCTATTTTTCTTATTTTTGGGGAGCGAAGAGTAAGTGGCAGAGGAGAAGAAAAGGAGTATAGAAAAGAGAGAATCTGGACCATGAACTTAATCGCTTTATTTGTTCGCAGGCAATAGAAGATATCTGCTCCATCTACCATTCACTTCCGCTGTTCACCAGAAGAACAGAATGAGAATTTATCATTGCGACGTTTCAATTTCTAGAATATTCTGATCTTAAAATCGCTTACGTTTTCTGTTACTTCCATCACCAAGACCGTCTTCGTTTTTCCTTCTGTACTTTCTTCCATAATTTTTTCCAGGAATTTAGTATATACTTTTCTAAACGATTTCTGCGTTTAAAGTTCAAATTTGAAAAACTGGTGCTCCACTTTGATAAAATCAAAGTAAAGCCGAAGAAAGAAAAGGCACATCATAATTTTTTTGCCTTCTATTCATCGCCATTCGTGAATTGCTAATTTTTTTATTTCTTCTTCGTTTATGCATGAATGTTTTGGAACATTTCGTTACATTTTTTCTTAGCACTTCCTTTTTAGTTTACAGTGAAAGAATAAAAAGAAGAGTTTTTTCCGTCTATTTTACATTTCCGATACAGAGATAAGTTTATCGCTCAGTTATCATTATTGCTATTGCTTTTTTCTCCTGTCGTTTTTCATGATCATTGCCAGGAAAGAAAAAAGGAAAAAAAAAACGAGTCATTAATCTCTTCATATGTTTAATAAAGATCAAAGACCGTGGTTGTACAGTGGCCACCAGTATATTTAATTTTTCACCGCTGACTACACCGATAATGTGTTTCTTTGTTTGTTTTCCGATGATATTCACATGACAGAGAGAGAGCCAATAAAGAAAGTGAAAATGGAACTGGAGTTCGATGGAAAATGGGAAGAAACGTCGGCAGAAAAAATTTCTAATTTTAGAGGATAATTTTGATTCTACATATGCTTGTAGATGTAAAATATTTAAAAATTTCAATGTGTAGAGTCCGCCCGGCGACTAGACAATTACTGACCGCTGGTTCCGGTAGACCGTTTGGTAACTACGTCAAAAGCATCCCATAGCAGACGGCCAGATAAAGCGAACGTTGTTGACAGCCGATAGCAACCGACGACAACAGTCCCAAGCAGCCAAACAACGTACCAACTTTGGGGGTCACTGGAAAACCTACACTAACACACAGACACACGACTGTACATTAGACCCGTATAATAAACACACAGACAAACAGAGTTGCGGAAATTGACAAGGATGCGAACGATAGATTTGGCGTTGAAGGCATAATAAACGAACAACCCGTTTTGGTACTAACGGTTGTGCTGTTCCTTATTGACAGCTACAACGATTTTTTGCCGTTTCCTTTCCTGCATCATTCAAATTTGTATTTACCCTCCTTCCCTTCCCCTCCCAAAAGAAATACAATTAACAGTGAAATTGGGAGGCGTCAAACATGATGTAACTATTAGTCTTTTTTACACTTTTATCTGTTTGATTATGTGTGTTTGATTTACTGTTTGTTCGTTTTTCCCTCACTATTTTTTTCACTTTTTTCTTAACCGACTTCATCTTAGCGGCAAAAAAAAGTTAAAGCAAAATAAAACAATATTCCTCCTTTCCCCTATTTTTCGCAGCAACAGCGTTTTATCACCAAACATCTGAAGCGTTTTCTACTTGCTTTGAAGATTCTCATTTGCATCGTTTCATCTTTTGATTTTGTGGTTATCCAACATAATATCACTGTCAGAATATTCACTACTAACGGTGACAATTGTATAAAACCCTTTAATGAACTGCGATTATTCGACGAATTTATCAACCAGTAACCATGTATGCTGATTTTATTGCAGGATGGGTTGCAGGTAACACCTTTTTTAACTAACACTTACAAATGTACTTTCAAAATGTTTTTTATTCAATTTTTCCTTGGATTCTTATTTACATTAATTTAATATATCATACAGTAAGGCCAAATCTACCCTATCTTTCTACTCTCTAATGTTAAAACTTTTTTACGTATCACTATCTTATTAGATCTTCCATAAATAACAAGAGACGACAAATTAACAACTTCAAAGTTCGCTTTTCCGACAACCTTTCAGTCTTAAAGAGGGTTATTCATAACTCGTTTTTAGAGCTGTTGCTCAATGATTCATGTTTCCTTTTTTGCTTCAAAATTCTTTGCAACACTTTGATTGCCTTGAGATTAACTGAGAGGGTTTTGGCCATGCCCTTTCTTTCAAAAAGGAATCATAAACCTTTTTTAAATAGCGGAGCTGGTTGGTGGCCCCCTTAGAAAAGTTTACATCTGGTGTGGCAAAATCATTAGCAGTTTCTGAAATTCCGATTGTGCCTCCTGAATAGGGATTTCTTCTAAGAAACGCAGTCGGCTACGAATAAGAGAATTTTTAAGGCAGTAGCCAGAGGTGCTTACTGAATTACTTCACGGTAAAGACCAAGAGAAATTGGATTTTCTATGTGAACCAGTCATATATATGCATTTGGAACAAAAAGGGTTGAACCATGAGTGTTGTATAAACTGACTGCTTTGTAACAGACCTAAACCGATAATTTTTTTTGTTGCTTTCTTCGTACAATACAATACAAGCGGCTCATTTCGGACAGATGGTGTGAAGGGGCGTTGCTTAGACCTGGAAGTAGCGGGTTAAAAATTTAAGGTACGGAAGAAAATGTATCCTATACACAATTACTGCAACTCACGTTACAAAAAATATGAAACAGATTTGGTGGAATCTTATACCACCACCACTTTGATTCCCCAAGCTTTTACCAGTCTAAATGACGGGTCTTTTTAAGAATTCTAAGTTTATTAACTCTAGAGAATTCAGTTCTCCAACTCATTTTCAGTTCAATTATGCTCGTTCGTCCAAAAACAATATGGAAGATTTTGGGGTTATTTCAACCTGTACAGCTACTAGGTTCATTTCCTAATTCGTTGCCTGATATCTAGCTACATTCTGATTACCAGAATATAGTGGTTTGTATTTGAAGCAGTGGAACTGATGATAAACAAAGTCACGTGTTTGACGTAAAAAACTGACGAAGCAAGACTTATAAGAAGTTTAATAAAAAAACATGAGTTTTTTTAATATTCAACTGATTCTTCAATTCTTATACGTTCGATTTTGAAAGCGAAGTTTTGATTACTGCTTTACTCTATAAGTACAAAAAAGAGCAATTGTTTAATTTATTTTTGCTTATTTTTTGCGGTTTTCAGTTAGAATGGTCAGCTTGTTTTCAAAAACAGTTAGCTGCAATTAAAATTTTTGTTGCATGCGGTGGAAAAAGAAAGGCGGAAAATTATACGGGTGGCTTGATTGTAATCATTAAGTTGTAATCATACAGACTTCTGAGTGGATTAGAACTAGTCATCAAAGTTGATCTATCGTGTTGAGTACGTTAAGTAACTTTTCTGCGGACAAATCAAGAAGCTAAATGATTGCAACTGAAAACTCGGCTATCATCACGTGGCATAACTTGACGGTGCTTTTTTTAGGGAGAGGATGCAAGTAGGAGGAAGACAGGGATAAAAGCAGGGCGCTACTGCTGCTTTAGTACTTTAAAATTATTTGTCATACTATAATTTATTTGTCAATTTCGCTGTCAGCAGGAATTAGCTTTTAAAATTTTTCAGGTGGTGTAAGCCTTCTGGTCGGGCATCCATTGGACACCATTAAAACTAGGCTTCAAACGATGAACATGTATGCAGGTTTCCAAGACTGTTTAACCAAAACTGTTACAAACGAATCGGTAAAACTGCGTCTACTCATTAATCTTTTCTGCTTCAACTGTTACAATATTTTTTCTTTTCATTTTGGAATTATCTGCACTATTCAAGAGATTTCAAAAAGCCGGAAATTTTCTTTCTTTTCTCTTCAATTTTTTCATTTGCTGCAAAAAAGAAGGCAGGTTCATCATGAGGTTAGGAAGAAAAGGTTACAGAAGCTTTGTTCAATTTAATTAACTGCGCACATCGCTGCCAGACTGATAATCCACTGAATTTTATGGCAACAAAAAGTTCAACTGTTTCAGATGTTTGGTCTGTACAAAGGTATGTTTTTGCCGTTCGTTAGTGCTGGAGCTTTGCACTCGTTGTTGTTTGCCTCTTATGCTACTACCTTAAAATGCTTGAAACCAGAAAGAGTTCGAAGTTCAAATAACGAAGAATTACCACTACGAGAAGTGTGAACATTTGTTATTTTTAAACGTTTGCTGCTAAAGTCTAGCCACTTCTTTCTTTTGTTTTTGTTTTCCGACTTGAATCAAGAGCCTATCCTTCAATAGCTCAGAGAAATGTTAGGGAATGCGTGCAAATTCATTCCAATTGTTCTTTCGCATGCGGTTTCTTTTCACGCCTATACTTTTATCATTGTGACGTACCCATTGTTTCAAACTCAGACGTGTTTTCTTTCCTTTTCAATATTTTTTTTTTGAAAGAGTAAGAAACAAGTACTTAATTATAAGGAAAGAAGCAGTTTTTACGCCATTAATGGTTTTTTTTTTTGAAATCTCATTACCTATTTTAGCTGAAATTATGCTTTTTTTCAGATTGTTTTGGCTACTTTAGTAAGTGCTGTGGTGCAACTTATACCAGGAATTCCTATCGAATTGGTCAAAACCAAACTTCAGGTAAACATTTACGATTTTGGATAGTGTCTCGATTCATAAGTGACGATTTGTGAAAATAATAGTTTCTACAAATCGACAGTTGTAAACAGCAAAGACCAGCATTTTGGAAAAAGAAACAGCACTCTTTCTTTACATATTATATTTTTTTGAAACATTTTTTTTGTGTTTAATTTACGTAGTGAAACAAATAACGAATTGTTTCTTCTGCTTGTTGAAGCGAATAAAATTTCGGTAGCCAGAAGATGCAAATGTAAAAAACTGTTTAGTTTTTTGTCGTTTACAACTGTCGATGTGTAAAAATTGCATTTTTTAGTTACTTTTACAATTTTTTTTTGAAAAAATTAATGTTTAAAGTCTCTGGTTTTCTCTTCTGTGGCCTTAAGAAAGCAAAAAAAGTTTAACGTTTTAAAAAAAGATCAGGAAAATTTGTAGCATTTTTCAGAAATGTTGGACAAATAGGATTATTCTAGCAAAACCCTCTACTTTGTATTTTTAACATTTGTTTTTTTTTACTTTTTAAAAAATAATGCTACTTCATTCTTTGTCAAAATTTATATTTAAAGATTTTTATTTCTGCTTTTTTTTACCTGTATTATAGTTGTTATTACACAATTAAACGTCTGAAGGTTGTGCATACTCTTTAAGGCAGTTGAGATGCAGGAGCGCAACAAATTTTAACTTTCAGAAATTTAGAATTTTCATTGGTAGAATAAAACTGGTGTATGCGGTATATTTATCAACACGGTTGCTGAAAGGTTTCGAGAGTTTTTGGACTTTTAATATTTTTTAAAAGTTTTTAAAACATTCGGTTTAGAAAATATTTTTATTATTTTTCAAATTTACTGCTTAGTTTTGCAAACGAACTTTTTCTTAGTAAATAATTGATTCACTGGATGTCACCATAAGCAGTTAGGTATAATGAATGGTGATCACAGGGAAAGTGAAAAAAAAGCTTTGGAAACTACTAAAGCCTTTGCCAACCAATTTATTTTGTTTAGATAGAAAACTTTGGAAGGAGGTTTTGTCAGTACTATTTTTAGATTTTTGGTAACTATTTGCAGTTTAAGCAGTCGATAGTTTCTGTTCCAGAAATTTGCACTTTTAACTCTCGATGTGTTTTTGCATAAAACAGGATTTGAGTTTATGAAGAACATAAGTTAATGCTTAACAGCTAATAACAGTTCCTAAAATTGTTGCTTTTCAGCTAACATTTCTACTCTTTATCAAGAGCTTCTTTGAATAAAAAGTTGTCTGTTGCTGAACATTCAAATTCTTGGAAGTCGTATGAATTATTTTTCTTCCAAAACAATCGAGGTTTTTGTTTCTTAGCAGAAGCTAGTTCTACTTTTCTGTTCTTTTGCGATAGAAGTGACAGCATTTGCACCGAGACTGGTTGGTTTGCAAAAAAATAAAGTTATCTCAAGCACCTTTATCTGACGCGTTGTACAACCAGTAAAGAACACGGCTCTTTAGTCTTTCTGAATTTCAGAAGTAATTGTATGGTAGACTCAAAATGGATAACGCTTACTTTTTGACTGGTCGACTGAAAAAAGCTATGCGTTTGAAGTAGGAAAAAGTAGTTTTATCTCTGGTAATTAGGTGTAGTTTTTGGGAGCTGAAATACAGTTATTGTGAAACGTTGCATCACATGGTTTTTGTTTTATTTCAGTAAAAGTAATCATTTTAAAATTCTTTGAAAGTTTTGCAGACAATCTAATGCAAGATAAAACTGTCGCGTTCTTCTGTTCTATCAATTATTTTTTTCTTTTTTTTCGCTTATTGGTCGCTATTTAGCGGTTCTTCAAATTCGCTATCTTTCGGTGAACAATACTGCAGTGTAAAAGGGTAAAAATGTCAACGAATGAAAAGGTTTTTGAGTGGGCAAGAATGTTGTCCTTATTTTGCTACAGAAAAAATGTATTGTCTCTTGGAATATTTAAGCATAATATGTTTAACAATTTTAAATAGTTTTTACTGCAATTATCATTTTCATTCCGCTAAGTTTAGAGGACTTCTCGTTAAGACATTGGGAAAAAACTTCATTTTTTTGAAGTATTATAAGTTTTTGACTGATAGTTGCATGTTAAATTTATTAGTAAAAAACTATAAGGAGAAATATTAAGTGTCACTGAGTGGAATTTTAAAGAACAAAAAAATTTCGTTTTTTTTTTTTTTTTTCGGGAAAAAATTTTCGGGAACACATCTAAACAATTTATTGGTTTTTCACCTAAGTAGAATATTCTGTAAAGGTTTAACTATTTTTTACTGATAAAATGTTTGAACCGTATAAGGTAGCAGTTGTAAATCAGGCTTACTGCTTCTGTTATTAGACGTTACCGGTCACGACATATCTAAAATAGCAGTAATTTTGAAGTGCTTGTCACCTTAGACATCTAGTCTACGTTAAAAATTCTTGAGAAGTTTTCCTTACTTTTATTCACAGATGGTTAATGTAAAATTTTTTTATAGTTTTTAGAATGTACATTGCAAAGCCAGATAAGGGAACTTCACTCAGTAGAATTTGGTTGATATTTTGCAGCAGCACTTCTGCCCGAAAAAGGGGAATAATAATTGAAAAAAGTATTGAATATTTGAATTGTATATAAAATGATAAGAAATGTTATAGGTACAACGTGAACGTAAATTATTTGGTTGGTATAAAGCAAATATTTTGCAAACTGCCGCAAAATACAATCGCCCAAGAGATGTTGTGTTATCGGTCTACAAAAATGATGGAGTTTTTGGCTTGTATAAAGTACGATTTTAATAGTTAGCTGTAGATCAGTATTTAACTGCATTAGCAGCATATCGATAGCAATATTGTAAGCCTCAAAATACATATTTTTTACCAATGTAATGTAGGTGACACTCGACTAATTAATGCACTATATGCACATTATTCTGAACCGGATTTTGCTTGTTTAGAGCTAGTCTTATAGGTTTATCATTAGTACTTTAATGTTTTTTTCAACACTTTAATGTTTGTTTTTCCACCTATTTTTTTGGTAGAATTACAATTAACAGTCTTAGTACTTCAGAGTGAAAAAAAAGTGTGGTACAATACTTCTTCAGTTTGTACAATATGGATGACGGTAAATGAAGAAAAAAAGAAACAATTAAGGATTGAAAGAAAACAAAAGATTTTTTTAATACTTTGGTAAAGTATGCACATTAAGTATGTTATAAAAGTAACCGGTTTTTGCTTCTTTTCTCTCTTTTTCTTCCTTTTAGTTTTTGTATAGGGTGGATTTCCAATGTTTCTCCGGGATATTGTTGGTCTTGGATTCTATTTACCAATATATGAAACCACCAAATATTATTTGGGACAACACGGTCACGGCGAAACACTATCTGAGGTAAGTTCAAAAAGACCAAGTATTTTTTTTCCTGTTTCAGTTCAACAGTTGTACTAGTTTTTTTTACACTTACACTATCAAAATCTTGAAAAATCTTGCTTACTTGCTTACTTACTAAACTTGTTTGTTTGTCCTTCTCATTCAACTCGTTCCGTGTCAGCAGTCGACATGACACGCAAATGTTGTTCTGTGTTTAAATGAAAAAAAAAAAACGGTTGTCTTAGCGAACCACTAAATAATTTGCATAATGCAATTTTTTTACTTTCTCAAAAGAAATGTTTGATTTTTTTATTCTGTCAATCAAATTGTTGTGCTGTTCCAGTGAGTAAAAAAAAAAGAATTTTTTAAAGTAAAAAACATTGTTTTCTAGAAATTTTGGATACTATTAACCTTGAACAGATTTTATCTCTGTCTACAAATGGTTATCAGCAGCGATTAATGGTGAAATTTAATTTTCAAATGAAAATTTACAGTTTTTTTATACAGATTATTTCATGTTTTTTTTTTTCAACTTCTAATTTTAGTTACATAATCGTTAAGTGTTTTCCGTTGAAAGAAAATTAAAAAATTTTTATCAGTTCTGGAACTGCTGAGATGCTTTTCATCGGTCAGCAATTTAAATGCGACATATGAAACAAAATCAAGCCTTATAGCATTATGGAACAACAGAACTGTTCTGTGAAATCAGCAACAGGTTATAAAGTTTAGGATTAAGATGGCCTCATTAGTTGAAGCTTTGGCTTAGTTCGCTTCCAGACGTTGATCAACGACTCCACCATCAGACAGCGTTAGTAGAAAGAAAGACAAGAAAAAGCCTAAACTTATACTGACAATTAGTGAAAATTTTCATGTTATTGTAGGTCTTTAAAACGAAATTTTTAACTCTCTACATTGTCTTTGAACGAAAGGAAAAGAGACGGTTAACTTATAGTATCGAAGCAATTGAACCTTATAAGTGTTTTTTTGTTTTTAGGGTTTTTTTTAGGTCTGCAACGCCTCTATTTTCTTCCCTTCTCCTACCCACGTTTTCTTTATGTTTCCTTCCTCAAATTTTCGTTAGCCGCGACAAAAAAAGTTTTATTTGTAGACAGGCAATAAACTTCCAGCTTTTTTTGGTTAAGCCTGTTTTTTTTGTGAGTAATCGGTAAAATATGACCTTATTAACTCATGAATTTTTGATGAGATATGAAGAAAGATCTTTGATGCTGCTTTATTACTCGTTTACTCAGTAAGAACATTGGTAAACATAGTATCAGGTTGGGGAGCAAGAAAAAACTACAATATTTGCTCAGATAATAATTGTTTTTTTTTGTTTTGTTAGTTTGTCATGGACGATACTCGTATAAATTTTAACTTCTGTATTTTTTCCGTCGATTTTCCTTTTTCAAATTTTAAGTAAAAACAGAAGAAAAATTGTAGATTTTTTCATCTATATTTAAGCTATGCGTCATTGTTTTTGAACAGTAATTTTGGGCAGTTTACAATTTGCAATTTTTCATTATTTCAATGGAAGAGAATTTTGAAGGCTATTGGATGACATGTTTTATCAAGAAAGTGTAATTACTGAAAATATTTTATTTTTAAACAAAATTATTGGTAGAATTGATCAACAAAATAGACTTTACTTTTTGTAACTTATTAATAAATATTATTAAGTTTTTTTTAGTTTAAACTGTGCATCTTTTTCTTGATGGCATTCAGTCTTTGTATACTCAACAATAAATTAGTCGGTTATATATGCTGCAGACTATTTTTACAGGCATTAGCTGGTGGAACTGCCGGAAGTCTTAGTTGGATAAGTATTTGCCCGTTTGAAGTAATGAAAAATCGTTCACAAACCCAAAGCGATACAGCCAATAGACAGTTACTGCAAACAGCAAAACAGATTCTGAAAAATGATGGTATTTCCGGTTTCTACAAAGGCTGTGTTACACTGATTGTTCGCGGGTTTATTGTTAACTCAGTTCTGTTTGTTGTTTATGAAAAAACGTTAGCATTTGTTGAACATTTGTAGTCATATGGTAAAAAAAAATTTCCCAGTTATATACAACGGTAGACATATTTTTTTGTCATTATTTTTATGTCTTATCATTGTTGTTAATTTTGTTGTTGTTATTATTGTCTTTTCAAAAATTTCGGGTAAATTTAGTGATTGTTTTAAGATAGCTTCAGAAATAGTTTTAACTTTGCACAAATTACGCGGTAATGGTCACGGTAGATTAGTTTTTTTATCTTTTGTACTATAATTATATGTACATTTGTAAATATAATATATAGTTGTATTTATTAATGTACCTACAAGTGTATACATTAGATGAGATTTTTAATATGTTTATATAGATATTATTTGTGTTTATATACATATGTTTATTTATTTATAAAGATTCATATAGTTGAACTGTTTAAGTGTGAAAATGTTGTTGGCTTGAAAGGAGAAAAAGAAAGACCTGATGAACATGAATAAATGCAACATTTAAATAGATAACACTTAACAGAATTTTCACTTAAACTTCAAGGCCAAACTGGTTGTAAAAGCCTGCTTTTTTTTTCTCTATTTCTTGTTTATATACTTTTTTTTGAAATTTTTTAAATAGGAAAAAAAGAGGAAAAAAATAAAGCGTGTTTAAAAACTTGGTTTTTTTTTGTACTTTGATCATCGTTAAAAAAAAAAAAGAGAGGAAAAAAATGAAATTTTCTTAAAAAAACTTAGTTTTACCTTTGCGGATAGTTACTTCAATAATTTTTTTACTGACATTTTTAACAGTGATTCTGACGACGACAATAACACCAGTAAAAACACCCAACCAAAGACATTGAAGTAGAAGAAATTATGTTTCATTTGCGTCATTTTTTTCCTTCTTTTTGCGAGTATAAAATTTTTGAGCACTAATAGTATGGTCTAAGCCGGAAGAATGATAGCTTAGATTGGCATAAGAAGAACAGTAGTAGATCTGAACTATTGCTAGAACAGTTTGTTGAGCTGTTTTTTCAATATATAGTTTTTTTTCATGGTTAACAATTCCTAAACAAACAGATAAACAAAACTGTTGGCCAATTATAATTTTACCAAACTTTATAGGTGTCTGCTTTTTTTTCCCTACTTATTGATTTTATTTTAATGTCAATTTTGTGGTTTCCTACCTCTTCAATCAACCAAAAGTTTTCCTCCGTCGTTCAACAGTAACAATGATGCTGCTATTGGTAGCAGTACTTTTAGACTGTTTCAATGTTCAGCTTACAGAAACAACATTTAACCTGTTTTGTTCTGTTCTCGCCAAACAACATTATGGACTTTTGGCTTTCTATTTTCTTTTTTTCATAATTTTTTTAAGGTGTCTAGAATCTTCTGAAGTTGTTATTTTTTTCTAATTTTGTTGTAACTATTGTTGCAGATGTTCTGTTTTCATTTCTTTAGTGATATATGCAAGAAAAAAAACGGTTTTCCACTTAGAGGAAGAGGAAAAAAATATTTTTTTTTTTTAAATGGCATTCGACAAACATATTATGAAAAAAAAAACTAGATAAAAGGAGCAAAAAAAAAATAGGATGCTAAACTTCAGGAGAATGATGTTTGGATGACAACAGTAACAACAATGGTAAGGTTTTGGATTGGTACTTAGTCGGTGGTCTAACAGTTATTAATCTTTTTAACTGCTTATCTGTAATGAATTGTTGTACATTCAGTTGATATTTCTTGTTGTCTAATAACTGTCTTGTTACTGACTACGTTGGTGGCAAATGGTTGTCGTTTTAGCTAGTTCGAATACAACCGGTAAATGTTCTCTATATTGATAATATTTATTCTACATCAACTGAAAGTCTTAAATTTTTTCGTTTATCTTTGGTCTTTTAAGCGCTTTTTTTATTTCCAATTAATTAAAAGTTCAGACTTTATTTTTTCTTTCAGCTATTTACTTTTTTTTTCTTGATGCATTTATTATTCAGTTTTAACGCAAGTCAAAAGTAAGCTTTTTTTTCTTCACCTATTGCTGCTATCACCTTTAGTTGCAGGTTTATCTGGAATTTATTTGTTGTAAGTGTCACATAGGGAAGTTTGATGATTGCACATATATGTTGGTAAGGTCATACAAAAATGTGAAAAAAAAAAAGCATTATGATTTAACAACATATCCGTTGTATAAAATAGCGAAGGGCAGAAAAAAACCGAAAGTAACGATGAATGATTGCTCCTTTCTCAGCCACCAGTTGTAAATCAGTGTTTTTTTTCAACAATTATTCACGTATTTATATAAAAGCTTGTTTTCACTTTCTCTTTGATTTAGAAATTTCAATCTCTTTTTGGTCTAACCTTATTTGCAATTAATTCTCTAAATATACATCTACAGTTTGCAGATTGCTTTAGTGAATTCTGTGTCGTATTTCCGTCTACTTTTGTTTTCTTCTTCACCGAGTTGAGGACAAAATAGATTTGAGTGAATGAGAAGCCGGCGGTAGGACAAGGAAGGCGAAAGGGTGAGGAGAACTGAAGCCAAAATTATTGCTGTAATCATTTTTTGATTCGTTTATATAATTTGGCAAAAAAAAAAAAAAAAAAGCTTTGCTTTTTTTTCTCACATTCTTGTAGATTTTTTTGTTGTTGTTTTATAGTCATTTACTGTTTTTACAGATGAATTGTTGCTATTTGTCTGTAATTTGTCAGCCTAGCTGTGTGAATATATTGTTAAGAAAAAAAAAAAAAAACCAACAAAAAAGAAAAAACAATTAAATAAGTAAAAGTCAAAAAAAATTTGTCTGCTCAGTTGTGTGAATGTATTGTCATTAAAAAGAAAAAAACCGAGACAAAAGAAAGAATAATTAAATAAGTAAAAATCAAAAAAAAGTTGAAATTTCTTGCTTTAATTTTTTTTGCATAAAATTAATATTAAATTTTATTTTCTATGTGCCTAAAGCTATTAGACACATTATTCAATTATTTGTGGTATTCAATTTGTGTCCAGTGGGGGGAAAAAAATCTATCAAATTGTTGCTTTTGTGGCCAGTAAAAGCAGTAATTATTAGACAACAAACTGACAAGCAAAATGTTCAAAAGTTGCTTCTTATTTTCATTTTTTTTTACTCAAGTAGAAAAGTTTTTTTATTTGAACCGTTAAATTAAAACTTAAAACACGATTTTCAAGTTTTTTCTCAGTTTTTTTTTCTTTGCTTTGTTAACAGTAGCTTAACAAGAACGGTATAGTTTCTTTGTTCAGCTGACATCGTTGTATACCCGCCCCATTTTATCTTGCCTTACCCTATCCTACTCTACCCTAGTCTAGTCTACTCCGCCTTACCTTGCCCTACCCTTTCGCACTTTCCGTACTCCACTCCACCTGCTCATCCCAGCCTCCTTTGTCCCATATCACCCAAACTTAACCCGTACCTCCCAGTTACCCTGTCGTATTATTCAGTTTCTGGTTGTCATTGTTGATTGTTGCGCCAACTTTGATTTGCTGCCTCAACTCATCAAATGCAGATTATTTCCTTTTTTTCTTCTGGTCGTTTTTTTT